CCTCCTCCTCCTTCGGCATACTCAAGTCTTCTCCTTCTCTTCTCTTCCTCGTCCCTCAAGTTCTCAGTCGATGTACCGCTACTCTCACCATGTTCATCGCCAGCATCGCCCCCCCGAGCGGGGCTGCGAGCCAGAGGAGGATAGGAAAACGCCTCACAGTCAATTCGAGGACGAGCACAACAAAGGCAGCGCCTCCCACCATCCTCCACATCTTCTCCTGCATCTCTGCCACTTTCCCCTCCTCCTCTCCCTTGGCTAGCGCGAGCATCGCTTCTCCTGCCATGCTCAGCGTCAGAGCTCCGCCCAGCCAGGCCATCGCCTCCTCCTCCGCTGCTCTCTTCTTCCTCCGCCAGCTCACTGCGATGATCCCCATCCCCGTCACGACCAGCATCGCCTCACTCGTCCGCAATCGCGTCGCCTCCTTCACCATCGCCTCCACTAGCTCTCCCCCAGCTCGACAGATCCCGTTCTCCTCCCCGAGCAGCTCAAGCGAGCATCGCAGCATCGCGAGCAGCAGCGCCATGCTCGGCGTCAGCGCAGCAACCGAGGAGGCGACAGGACGGAGGAGGAAGAGGAGGAAGAGGAGCAGCTGCAGAGGGATGATGGGTCGTAGAGCAGCCGGCAGGTCGAGGATCCCGAGGAAGCAGGAGGAGGCGGCGAGCATAAGGAGCAGCACAGTCGATGCTGAGCAAGCCACCCACTCGCTGCTCCTGCGGCTGAGGAAGAGGAGCACGGCAAGGTTGACCCCTGTCTGGAGCCCGACGCCGGACCCCTCCTTCATCCCCGACAGAACCTCGTTGGCCTCACGGAGAGCGACGGCCATGCTGCTTGCGGCCTGTCGACCGCGAACGAGAGACACGCGGAGGGAGGAGAGGCAGATCAAGTCCTCCTCCCCCCCAAGTAGATCCGCCGAGCACAGGAGCATCCAATTGACGGTCAGGTAGCTGACGACAACGACGGGGAGAACCGAAGCATGGCGGCTGCCCTGTAGGAGGAGGACAAGGGCGAGAGATCCCGCGGTAGGAAGCAACAGCAACGCCTGTGCCCTGCTCAGAGGCAGAGGTCCGCACGAGTCTCCTCCCTCGCACACGCAGAGCATGAAGCTCTGTGCGAGCGATGCCTGCTCCCCGTCCACGCGCTCGAGAAATCCACCTGCTCCTCCTCGTCCACAGAGCAGTGGGAGAGCCTGGAGGAGCGGAGCAACGCTGTGCTGCCCCGACAAGAGGACGAGGGCAAGGGCGACCATGACGATGAAGGAGGAGGAGGCGAGCACAGGTGCGATGTTCCTCCGGACGATAGCGAGGGACGAGGAGAGCAAGGCGAGCATCACGAGCATCAGGCTGGTGCCGAGGAAGAGGAGGAGAGGAGGAGAGCTATCCCCCTCGCTCCTCAGCCGCATGCTCGCCTCCTCCGCCATCCTCAGCCCCAGCAGCCCGCCGCTCGCCGACATCCAGCTCTCGCTGCCGTGAGGATGAAACCTGGCGAGAAGGGAGGAGGCGGCGAGGAAGCAGATGGTCAGCTTCCACTGGGGAGTGAGGGCCTTGAAGGATCGTGCAACGTCTTCTCCTCCTCTCCCCACCATCCCTGCCATCCTCCCCACCCACTTCCTTGCTGCTCCTGCCACCATCCCTCCAGCCAGCTGCCTGTCTGTCAGCAGGGCCTCGACACTTGACCTTGCCCCCTCCACCGCCTCGGGGTCGAGCAACTTGAGCGCAGCGATCAGCATCAGGACAAGAGAGGTCGAAGCCAAGGCCGGGGAGAGCCACCCGGACAGAAGGAACGATCGCAGGAGAAGGAGGAGAGGAGGAGAGAGGAGGAGGAAGGAGAGAGTACGGTCCTGCAGCAAAGGAGGGGGTACCCCTCCTGCCAACAGGCCCATTGCTTTCATCACCATCATCGCCAGCAGCATGAGGGAGAAGGAGGAGACAAGCGGGTAACTCCTCGTGCTCCTCCCCAGCAGCAGCAGGCAGTAGACGGTCAGGATCATCACCTGAACATGCGACTCCTGCACCTCCTCCAATCCCCTTCTCATACCCAGCTGCGTCATCTGAAACACTGCCGTCCTTTCCTCCTCCTTGTTCAGCAGCTCCATGGCTACCCACACCATCACAGATGAGGATGATGCAGCAGCCACCAGCCACATGAGCACGTGCAAGTTCGCGATGACAACCACGAGGACGATGGGGAGGAGAGTCAGCGCGCACAAGGCAGAAGGAGGAAGAGCGACTTGGAGCAGCTCGAAGGCGCGGAGGAGCATGTGAAAGGCGACCGAAGCACCGACGGAGGAAGCGACGACGGAGCCGAAGGAGGAGAGGTCCCTGCAGAAGCCGAAGAGGAGCAGAGGAAAGTTGAGCGCGAAGTCAGCGAGGAAGATACTCGTCGGTCTGATGGCCTCCTGACCGTAGTGGACGCACGTGGAGCTCGGGGAGGAGGCGTCGAGGAAGGAGAAGAGAAGGTTGAAGGAGACTAGCCCTCCTAGCATCATCCTCCAGGGATACAACTTGTCCTCCTCCTCTTCCGCTCCGGAAGCAGCAGCAGTCACATCCTTTCTCGTCTCTTGCTTCTTTACCATTGCCGCCCTCATCGGTTCTTGAGCTGATCCATTACCCACGAGAGTGGAAGCAGTTTCAACTTCTCCTGGTTCTTTTCCTAGCTCCTCGTGTTCCTCCTCCTCCTCCTCCTCCTCCACCACCACCACTTCCTGCTCGACGAGGTGCGTCCGCTGGATCCCCACGACAACAATGAGAGGGAGGAGAAGAAGGAGGATGAGGCGGAGGATGAACTTCTTCAACCGCACCGGTATGCGTAGCGGGCGGGGCT